GTATGGTGCGCTTTCCCTTGTCAACATGACTGCATGACTGTGCATGGATGAGCAAGCTTATATAATGTCTTCTCAATGTTTCCGTCCCGCCCGTGTGTGTTGAGGGTTGAATCTAGGCCATCTCGACAGCTTTGTGTCTGCGAGGCGGATCAGGATCGGGGGGAAGGGCTGGAGGGGATCCGAGAGTGCTTCCCGGGTCAAAGGGCAAGTGCGATCGGAGAGAGACATGTTTGTGCACATAGCGGCATTTCAAGAGCTTTCTGTGTCTGACAGCCATCAAAGCGCTTTGAGATGAGCTCTCATCGGTCAGGCTACACAGGAGGAGATCTGTGCGCTCCGGCCCTTTACTGGGATCCTACCCCTGCATCCAGCTGGAAAAACAAACAGTGTGGGAGTGAGCAGAGAAGAGAAGAGCTTTGATGGAAACGCTGAACTGGAATACGAAGGAACTAGATTTTCTGCGAACGTCACCGCTGGAGGTTTCACTGCAGGTCTTGGAGCTTGGAGTTATTTTCTGTAACTAAAAGTAGAACCACAAAAAAAAACATTTTAAGTACTTGAAATAAAATAAACATCATTTACTCACTCTCATGTTGATTTCAAACATACACGACACAAAATAACATGTTAAAAACTGTTTTTGTCTATAAAAGGAAAGTTATATTTATAAATAAAATTATAACATAATACAAAATATATATTATATAATATTAATTTTATATAATTATAGAAAACATATTGTATACATAAAATAATAAATATATTTATTATACAGTATAAATATATAATAAACATTGTTTTAATACAAGAATTCTACTGTTTAACATGACATCAGTTAAACTAAAGCTGAAATAAAAATGAATAAAACACATATGGACATATACATAAACTAATACAAGTGACAAAAACACAACAAAATTACAAAAATGTTAAAATATTGAAAATAAATAACAAAATATAAAAAACTTGAAACGAGGCAACATTACTCATTTTCATGTGAAATAACGTGAACTGAACAAGCTACAACTTAATAAAACAGACATATTTAAAATAATAATGATGATGATGATGATGACAAAAGCATCCAACAAAATGACTAAACTTTAATTAAAATTAAAACAAAATACAAACATTTAAAAATAGAAACTCTTCCTCCAGTGAGTCAGTGTTCTGGTGTGAATCAGGAGAGAAATCTGCACAGATCAAGCAGCGTTTAAACAGCTCTAAACACATATGTGGCTGGATTTTGATGTGAGAGACAACAGCAGATGCACTTTTTCACTGGAGGAAGAGTTATTATGGATTATGGACTCCATGTGTTTTAGTTAAAAACGTCTTAATGCTGGATTAGTTTCAGCTTTTGTCTTCTCCAGATGTTCACTGATGGACTGGAGTGCTGTGGATTACTTGTGATGTTTTTATCAGCTGTTTGGACTCTCATTCTGACGGCACCCATTCACTTGCAGTGAGACACTGATGCAATGCTACATTTCTCCAAACCTGATGAAGAAACAAAACTCATCCACACATTCGCTGGCCTGAGAGTGAGCACATTTTCATTTTTGGTTTGTGTGTGTGTGTGTGTGAGTGTGTGTGTGTGTGAGTGTGTGTGTGTGTGAGTGTGAATGTGTGTGTGTGTGTGTGAGTGTGTGTGTGTGTGAGTGTGTGTGTGTGTGAGTGTGTGAGTGTGAATGTGTGTGTGTGTGTGTGTGAGTGTGTGTGTGTGTGAGTGTGAATGTGTGAGTGTGTGTGTGTCTGTGAGTGTGTGAGTGTGAATGTGTGTGTGTGTGTGTGTGTGTGTCTGAGTGTGTAATTCATTTTAATGAATTAAACTAATTCATTTTTCAATTAGAGACCAATGCTATCGCTCAGGAAGTGCATCATTCATTTCATTCATTGTCTCAGAAAAAAGCAGGCCACGCATGTGCTAATTCTGTTTGCATGTATGTGTGAGCGGTTTCCAGACTCGTACTCTAATGCGGCGCGTGATTTCCATCAGAACACCGGCATCTTTCCTGCGAGGCGACGTGATGTCCCTTCCTCGCTCTTCTTCCTTCATAAACAGGTCCACAGCAGCACAGCCTGACCGGTCATGTTCATTTATAATCAAGAGGAGCCGCAGTCGTCGTGCTCGGGGGGTTGCATCGACATTATCTGTGTCTTTATGCTCATCTTTCAGAGAGACGACATGCAAATTACCACGCAAGTCAACATCTATCAAGAATTGATAGTTTAATTTACTACAAGTGATAAAAATTATATTAATAATGTGTGTGACAAGCAGTCAGAGTTCAGAGGTCACATCCAATAAGACACAAGCAGCTTCCACTTACCGGATCAAAGACGCGCACAGAGGTCTAATTCCATGGCATTCCGAAATATTTAGACAATTAGCTTCATTCTGGATAATTATGAGTCTAAAGACAGAGGAAGCAGAAGTCATGGAGAGCAGAAGATGAGATCAAATGCTTTATTCCTTTTTGTTGAGAGTCATATTTAACCCATAAAGTCTTTATGGCTCATATAGTCTGATAGAGTGAGAATATGGAGGAAAAA